CACAATTTTAATAAGGATGAAGTCTGAGGAATACGCTGGCCGACTTACAATCAAAGCCGTTGCGTTTAGCATTTTTCCAAATGGAATGGTGTCAGGGACCTCCCCTGCAAAACAAGTGATTTGCGACCATGACTTTTCGAAAAAGGTTGTAGCCGGGACTCAAGCACCTCATTATAATCCTAGTCGTCTACCTGACATGTTGGCAAGCCAAACTTCAATGTCCCCCTCCTTTTGGAACCACCCCAGACCTTTGATGAACATCTTCCGAATTGTCTCTTCGAGCACATCTGCGGGTCCGACCAAAGTCTCTCCAAAAACCTCAAGACCCACCCGAATAGTAAGGAATAAGCTTCTTTCTGCCAGTCGAGTTGGTCTATGAGAGAAATTTCCACAGAAAGTCTTTTATACTAATTTTACCATTTCCACGAAAGCACTGTCTGTGTGGGTTCAAAGTATCATGTTGTGATCCTTTTTTGAGTGGGAATTCCAACCTTGCCAACCTGAACCCGCATTCATATACAAAGCCTTCTTCATCTTCTTTCGTGTCGTGTGCTCAATTGATTGAATGAGACACCGATTGGTCTTTTTTAAGATCGGGAAGATCATTTATGCGTAAAGTTGAGTAGTACGAAAAGAATAATTTGAGAAAATTAAGGCTATTCTTCTCCTGTTTTGAACAAGTAGCGATTGAGAACAACCCTCAGTCAAGGTCGAGAGCTTAGCATCAGGATTTCGGATTTCTCTCCAAACCTACGAGGACGCATGACTGGTTGACGTGCTATTTCGCAATAGGAAGGTTCAGAAGCATGGGGATCCCATTTCTGTGCTCGGTCTTCTTCAGAAAAACGCTTGCCGTGAAGAGGAATGATGCCAGAATAAGTAACGAAAGGAGAAGTAAAAATAGGTTAGGAAATCGATGCAAAAACTTCATCTGCCTCAGGGTGTCCACATAATTTTGATACAAAGAAAAAACTTTCCATGAAAAATAGTTCGCTAAGTTAGAACGAAATCTTTTGCCGAAAATGTCATTGTAGGTTATCGACCACTAGGAGTTGAATGGTGAAGGTTTCATAACACAAAAAGCCTTTAGCTGACTCCTGAGAATCGATGGGTACCCCCCAGGAGGCCCGTCGCGCGGCAAGAAGGCAGAGTCGGCGGACGAGTTGCAGCGCGTGATGTGCGATGTAGGACGTGCAATGGGACACTATTTAACTTGACGCGAAATCCCTACAGTACGCGCGCGACTCGTCCGCTGACTTTGCCTTCTTGCCGCGCGACGGGCCTCCTGGGGGGTACCCATCGATTATAGGGTGTCCACATACTTTTGGGACGCACTGTAGTGGAATTCCGTCAACTCACCCTGAAACGCTCTTCAACCCTCCCTTCGGCCTTGTGTTGGTGCGCCTTTTATTTCCTTATCTATTCCCTTTCGTGTTCGCATTTATAATCCAGAATTGTAATCGAATCGCAGGATCATCTCAAAACATAATCAACGAGGATCAACTTTTTGACGATGGATAGATGCGGAATGAAGTAAATCAAGATATTGCGCAAATATGCAGCAAAAAGGCAAACTTTCACAAATAACGTTTCTGATACTATTCAAGAAAGTTCACTGAATAAAAACCGATTTTCAGGTATCCAGTAAGGTTTGATCGTGTTGGCACACACTGCGAACAGGTATGTACGGTAGCTCTTGATCAAACCATCACTCTAGAGCTACCATCGCTAGTAACAGCGTCCCACCTCTATTAACTCGTTGTCGACCATAGCTTCTGATTGTATACCCTTCTAATTGGTGATGAAAAGCTTATTTATTTATTTATTTATAATGAGAGTAAAAACAAAAGTAGAACGAAATTGGATCTGGAGTAAAGAACGACCCTAGTTCTGAAAAATGCTCCAACTAAATGTGCAAATAACCGATAGTAATGAAGACGTTTATGAGGAACTTACCTTTACCAAATCCTTGACTAGAAGCACTAAAGCTTCAGGGTTCTTTCTCTTGTACACTATATCTGGCGTCAGATTATGTATCGCCATGAGGTCTTCAGGTAGAAGAACAACACCTTTGAGCAGTAAAGGAAGAGATGACCTGAATTATCAAAGACACACGATAGAAAGTGATCATACTTCAACATTGTGAATTACTGTGGCGAACCTAATCAAATTCATAATCCCGTATGCAGCTCCAAGCTGATCTGCTGCTTTGATCGCCGATTCACTGAGACTTCCCATAGAAGATGCACGAGCAAGAGTGTCAGCTTGAAGACGAATCATTGCACCCGTTGTAGCAACACCATAGTTTTCCAACTAGAACAACCTTACTTTAATACAGTTGGGAAATCCAAGCTGACAAAACAGATTAACTAACTAACATCTGCAACGGAGCGAAAAGGTCGATCGCCTATAGTCCTTTGACGAGCGACTATAAGCGAGTCTAAAAGCGACATAGAAGCACGTGGTGCAAATGAACATAGTGCCACTGCAACAGGTTGCCTGAAAGTTGATGTCGTTAGCGCAAAAAAACGCAAAGTGCGTTTGTTTCCTTCATAATAATCATTTTGAAAATCAGAGACAATATGTTGTTTAATGAACAAAACAAGACTGGTAAAATATTTTGCCTCGGTATAGGTGCCGCTGAGTCGCCATAGATCGCTGCAATAGCATCACGCCAAAATTGCAACCGATACATACCAGTTGCATCAGCAGTACGCTGTGTGATTTTTTCTCGCACAAGAGCCAGCTCAACATTGAAGGCAAGCAACTAAATACATGCGGAATACTATTTCAAGAAAAATAGAAGTTGCGAACGAACACCCTCACAGCAGCTAGTTCCGGATGACACGATTTCGGCATAGTTAATAATGCCTGATAGTTGTCGTGGTCTCTAGATCGAACTGCCTGGAAATTTCGTTTTTTTTTGTCAAATTTTTACACTAGAAAGAGCGTGACAATACAGAAAACTCATGACCCCTCTCGATAACTCAACAATTCAGTAAGTGAAAATCGCGCGCCACGCACTTCCACACTATCTATCGTAATCGAATTTATTGCTACGTAAAATACGTACCTCTAAACACAGGCGGAACGCTTCTTGTGCTTGCGCTTTTGTAATAGTCAAAACACGTGAAGACTTCAACTTCTTGGAACTTGGTTGCCTAAAAGAGGCAGAATCCGGCAGCTGCAATTCTTACAGCAACAAGAAAACTCAGGAAAAATTCGTGACTTCGCGAAATGTAAAGGACACAGTAAGGCTTTCGGAAGAAGCGTCGCAAAAACTTCGATTATTTGGTAATAATGACAGCAGCCGCGCGAATATAGAGAGTATTCAACAAGGCTTCAAATCCTACCGAATCTCCTGTTTTATTCGTGACTCACGTGACTCAATATAATAGCAAAAAAATACAAAGAAAAAGAACAACTCCTCAAATATTGGGCATACTCTCAGAAATTACTGTTTCCAAAATTAAAGCCCCCTTTTCTTTTAAGAGAAGAAACTGATATCAGAAGAAAATGAATCGCAGAATCAAAAGGGAAGCGTCACCAGTTAGATACCATTGTCATTTTAACAAAAAATTCGTCGAGGGTGCATGCATCGTCCGTCGGCCGATCGTAACGATCGCATAGGCTGGTGTCAAAACCGCGATCCGTCCCGCGATACGCACGGCGGATCACAGAAATCATAAGTGCCCCACTTGAACATTTGAAACACTGAATATGAAACAAGTAGAATCATGAACAGTCGTCATTCAACCATCACCATCAAGCAGAAATGGCGGCGGATTGGAGACCTCGCAGTATTGATGGGGCACTCGTGCTTACCGTGATCCATCGCGCGCGACATATCGCGGACTATGACGCCAACCTATGTAATCGTTACGATAGGACGACTATGCATGCGCCCGAAGACGCCAGCTAACCATTGTGTAACATCAAGGCATTGTGATAGGGTTAAGATTGATACATACGACTGGAAATCCATACCTTGCTCCAGGAAGATTTGAAAAATCCGGAGTAGAAGGAGAAGGTAGAGTGGTCGAGTATGGCAATATTGAATGACATAAAAGAGTACACGATGAATGCAATAAAGAACAATTGAGTAGTCCATGGAAGCGAGAGCAATTAGCAAATGTACTGCTCAGTCTTCTCGAGATGAGGAAGCCATCTGAAAAAAAGGCGTGTTTAAAGGTCAGTGAAGCGAGCCACCAAACTCTTAGGTGAGAACCAGAGATCACTAGAGCCTAGTGGACGAACGTCAATTTCTTCTAGATAAGCTGGACGAAAACATACAGGAATAAATCACACCTGCGCAACCTCCTCGGTACGCTGACGCACTACCGCATGCGCCGGTGACATTGCTTTTCCACGATGTTCGAATGTTACGAAAGACATGCAACTCCCTGCCTCGTCCCATGATCGATCACGATTCTGTAAAGTACAACTTATAAAAAATAATAGGAGCCCAAACTCTACTATCAGAGTACTCATTTCCTTCATTGCAAAATAATCCCACTCTATGTTCTGCCCTAGCAGCTCCACTGAAAGATGGAGAACGAGTAAGAAAATGACAAAATCGTTACTGATCAATGAAATAATTTTCAACGAAAATTACCGGATCACTTTTGATGTGCTGGAATGCACCAGCAACGTGAGATGCTCCGTAAATTAGTGCCACCAAAGAGATCAAAGTCTGTGCCAAAACGTCAGCTGGCAACGTGACGAAAGGCTGCTCCGTTAGTCGCAAGTAGGAGCGATGCTGAATTGGACCAGATGTGATAACGAAAGTACTAAACATTATAGTGATGACACATCACATCACTTCTGACAACGTTGATGTAACCCGAAACTGGAAAAAATGAGCCTACTGAATGTTGCATTCGGTTTGTATAATAGACAGAACGGAACAGTAAATTTATGATATGTAGCCTAAATAAGAAATGTATGCGTACCACTACGCTGCAGGCGCGCCATACAGTTCTGTAATGCCTTAATTTCTCCTTCCATTCCAAGGGCAGAGGAATGTAGTGACAAGTGACGTTCCACACCACACGGATCGTCCAGTGACCAAGTCTTCACCGTAAGCCGTCCAGACCAAGGAGGCCTTTTATCACTCCAAGCTGGGTAAATTGGGATTCGTGAAAGGATAAAAAAAACTGTCTTGTGTACTGGCTAGCCTTTCCAGATCATTATGGGCTAAACTGCACTCAAATGCCATTACGAATTGGAATGAAAGTAGAGTGCATGGCACAGCCCAAACACCAAATACTTTGTATCCAATCTTATCCTATTCGATTTTTCTGAGCATTAATGACTGAGTCACCTTCTCCCTCCCCGCTTCGTTGAATAGTTACGCCGTAAACTAGGTTGACTACTGTGGTAGTGACAATGACGGTGAGTGCTTGAGCACCCGAGAGGAGGTCGTCGAGCGTCAAAAGCGCAGCGACGCAAGCAGATCAGCGGACGAGTCGCAGCGTGTGCCATGTGATGTGGGACGTTCTAGAGTACCTTCTTCTTAATATGACGCTGACTACAGTACGCGCTGTGATTCGTCCGCTGACCAGTCTGCGTCTCTACTTCTGCGTCATGTGACGGGCCTCCTATCGGGTACCTGAGTGCTTGTATCCATGACGTTGAAATCTCTCATCAACATCCAATAATCGCAGGAATAAAACAGACATTTGCGAGGTGTGAAGAGCCTAAGCTCAAAAATAGTAAGACTTTTGAATTTAGTCTGTATGATAAACACGGACAGCACCCCACGTCAAATATACCAGTAGGTCCGCTAAATTCTCCACTTCTTCCTCCGTTCTTTGATATCACCTAAGCCTAGAGAGGGAGAGAACCCTAAATCGACGCTATATCCAAAGTTAGCAAATCAAGGGTATGTTCAGTTTTGACCGCGGTAAGGCACAAAGCATATATGTAGTGCATGCGAGGCTATTAAGTTTTTCGAATAGCACTTATTCGAGATCATCTGCCTTGACAGCTGAGTATAATCGCTGCTCAGGCATTTGTGAAGCTTGATATACCAGGGGTCCAAAAAACCAGGGTCTTAGAGAAAGCCGAACACTTATGCACAGTGCACTTATGAGCCGAGTTTCTATTAGATGAAGCAAGCCGGCAGAAGAACGGAGTGGAAGGTGATTTGGCTTGCAGGTAAAGCTTGAAAGGGGATAATATAAAATTTGGAAAAACTGAATCTTGAAAGATACCTGCGCTGCAGAATAGGCACAGTGAAGAAGACTGAGAAGCGAGACGAGTGTGATAACGTTGTAGAGCGTCTTGGACATGACAGCACCTCAAGCACGACAACCACGGGTGCAGATGCCGAGTAGCTGTCGAACTACCTTAATGTGAATTCAGAACCTGCTAACTACAGAGGTAAGATAACCATTCAAGTCCGCCAATGAAGAGTACATGTTTTTTCCCTGATCCATTCCCACATCACGTAAATTACACAGCATTAACATTAATAATATTACTTTACGTTACTTGAAACCTTCATCTCGATAGGTTTTTGTCTTCGACACTAATGGTGTGGAACGATGCGCTAGCCCTAGTCAAGAACATAAGAAGTGTGACTGAACAAAAAACTCACCTTGGAAAGCCGCTAAAAAGGGAGCTGAACAGCTTCGAAGTGGGCGTGGCTGTGCAGTCCCCCGGGCGGTTCCAAGCACACCCATTTCGAAGCCATTCAGCCCTCCTTCCAGCGGCTTTCCAAGGTGAGTTTTTTGGCATAATTTTGAGCAAAAATATCCCTCAGGCACCTGTGGAATTACAGCCAAATGTCTGTAACGGAAATAGTACCTCACTCACTGCATATATATCAAAAAATATGCAGGTACATTATATGTACCGTTTTAGCCCGCGCAGTCGCGTACCACAAAGACTACTGCAACGCCTAATTTCATGGGACAATTACATGTTCACCCCCATTTTCCCGCTTCCCGATGCGAGCCGTATCCTAACCGCAAGCTTGGAATCACTTATGACAGCACTGATCATCAAAAGCACCGAAAGAGGCATGTGTTATCGTATGGGTACGACGCGCACTTTAGCTGTCTTCGGGGTAAGGCAAAAGTGCTGACCAATTTGCTAATTAATTATTCGAGCACTCACAGGCAACTGATAAAGGAAGCATCATTGAAGAAGCATTTAATCACATTTCCTAGAAGTGAAGATTAGCGCGTTGGCATAAACAGTCAGCTCTCACCGAGGATCTGTGTTTGTATGTTTGTGTATGCGTATGGGTATGTCTAGCATTTTGCCACTGTACTGTTGTTTGGAAAGGTTTGCTTCTCCGGTTGGGTCGACGGCGCCGTTGAGAAGCCTTCGCTTCAAGTTCGACTTCCTCCTAAGGAAGCTCTCTCGTGAACTATCCCTTCTGCTACCAACATTGCATGGGTTTTGTGTGTTTAAATTTACTAGTATGAACGAGCAAAGATGCAGCACCAAATATTCCGAGTGAACTGAATCCGGTGCTTTGCGAAAAGTTACAGGCACAGGAACAGCTGAACATGATGAAAATTCCATTCCCACCCTGAGACAGAGTTTTGCCATTCACCATACTTGAGAAAACTCTCGCAACTGGCAAACTACGGCCAGAAACAGCAGTTAGGCCCTGTTCAGAGATGTCCGCTTGCGCGAAAAAACGCATAGGCGAAACAATGTGAAATATGTATCGACTGAACGAAGACGCACAGGCGAATCGTGAAGTGGGAGGATCGACGAAAATGAGTATCATACGCATCGACTTACGAACGCTTCGCTCACGCGATTTTCCGCCTGTGCGTTTCTCACAGTCGATACATATCAAACTCTTGACTGAAATTCGCCTGCTCCGGACGTTTCGCTTACGCGTTTCACAATTTCTCAGTCGATGCGTATCTAAATCTTGGCGGAGATTTTCGCCTGTGCGTTTTTTCGCGCCGGCGGACATCTCTGAACAGGGCCTAAGGCCCCGTTCAG